TAATAATAATAATAATAATAATAATAATAATAATAATAATAATAATACCCACATACAACGTGTCACCCGGACAACCGGATCATATGCTTTGATTAATTTCTAAAAAACATGTTTACTAGTAAACATGTTGTAGCTGGTGAATTTCCAAATACATCAAATGGTTTGTCAGTGTCTGCATCAGGTATTTTCCGGGAAAGTTCACCCTTTAACAGCCGCTATAAGAGGAACACAAATCTACCCCTGTGAAAGACGACGGGAAAAGAGGGAAAGTAAATTGCCCCCGTTAAATGGACTGCGCGAAGACGCACGCGCCCATTAAGTCTTACGTAAGACTCTTTACGCAAATGAACAAATGGTCTTCCGGGTTTCCAGGGATTGCGTCTCCCCAAATAGACTTAAGCGTGGCGTGGCGTGTTGTCGTCCCGGAACAGCTCTGGCAGTAGGACCCGGGGGAGAGGGGGGGGCTGGGGGGGGTAAAGAGCGAACCGCCACCGAGCTGGAGCTGTTAGCCGCCGCCGTGAGTCACTCTGCCCCGCGCGGACCCACGGTACGCCTCACCCCCGCGTGGACCACGTCTCGCGCCCTCCGAACTTTTTTCTACCACACCATGACGGGATTATAACCGGAACAGCGGGCAGCCTTAGAAAAAGACGTCAACGGCTGGAGTGGAGGGGGGGAGGCATGGAGTCCAGACGCCAGAGCGGTGAGTAACGGTCCCCCGTTTTTTTTTATTACCAGTACCGGTTCAGAGTTTTTGAAAGGAGAAAGCAGAACTGTTAGAGAGGAGTGGAAAACGGGAATTAACCCCTCATGACTGGGGAAAAAGTGTGTGGGTGAGCCTCCGGAAACCTGGTGTTGCCACAAAGAAAAAAACTGAGTTTTCTTAGGCTGATAAAAGCTCAATGGACGGACCGTTAACGTGTAGTTACATTTAAATTATTTATTTTTTAAACTGTGCGCCGGCTCCATCGATGGGGAACGTCGGTGTGATGTCATCCCTCCACGCGCCCGTCTGTGCTCCGCGCGCGCGCGCGTGTGTGTTGATGGATGGAGGAGGCATCCCTCAGGTAGAGTGATGCAACCCGATGCCAACACAGAAGCGTCCTGTTGGAAGCTGCGCGGCTGAATGGCGGCTCTGTTTAAACCCCCCCCCCCCCCCCACTCCGGGGGTCCCGGCCGGAAGCCGCTTTGTGGGACACCGGCTGATGAAGAACCCGGCACAGGCCCATCACTTTTTGTTTGTTTGTTTGTTTGTTTAATTGTTGTTTTTAACCGAAAGGAAACCATGAACAGGTCAGGTCGGTTGAAGGGGGGAAAGCAGCAGGTCACGTTGCCATGTTGTCCTCAGATCAGCTGATGGGAATTAAACTATATGCTGGTTGTAATAAACCAAATGAAATAAAGCAGACTTACACCGCTGAAAACCCCTAATAGTCATACCAGACTTTATTTTGTTTGAATTTACATGGTCTTGTCAGTATTGTCTTTAAACTGATCACGCAGATAATCCTAACTCTTGTTATCTTATTAGTAGTATGAAATCAAGAATCTGTGAGTCTGCTCTAGAGAACTTTTTAAAATCACTCTTCCTGTTTCGCGTGTGCAGAGCAGGCTACAGCTTTCTCCTCTATACTATTGAATTTCAGCTAACCACTCGGGAGCCAGCGTCTCATTTCCCTTTGTTTAACAGCGGTGACAAACCTTGACCTAAACCGTGGTCTTCTTACATTTCCTTTTCCCTTTTCCTCCTCCTTCTTCCACCCAACCCCCCCTTTTTTTCCATTTTCTTTGACTCAGAAAGTGCAGGGCACTCGGTTTCATTTGAAGATGTGTTTCACACGGCGAAATGTAAAAAAAAAAAAAAACTCTGTAAACTGCAGCTCTACGGCAGCTCAGATTAGGAGGAAGTCCAGCTGCACGGCCTGCTGCAGACGGAACCCAAGCTGGCCACTGAGAGCCTTCCGAACACCAGATCACGTGCAGAACTAATTCCTAATTCCAACTTTTGGTGTAGTTGATTATTTGGAGTCGCAGCTTGATGAGAACGTGATTGTTTGTCCGGTGGGTAAATGAGGGGAGACCCGGCATACTTGGCTGAATGTCATGTCCGTGGCAGATTTGAACATCTGATATCACAGCTGCATCCTCTTTGGGGAATTCTGGAAGTGAAATGCACTCATAAGTCTTGTTTTTCTTTTTCACCATGAAGATATCCGTCCTGTGATTTGGGTGAAGGGGTTTTTTTGTTTAGTTTTTTTTGCTCGCACTGCACATATTGCCTGTCATTGTCTGTCACTGTTGTACCAAATCTCTACTTTTGACAAGATGTTCTCTTATTTTCAATCTTTCTATCTGTTTGCTTGTATGCAAACAAAGGGAACCAGCTGGTGAAAGCTGAATGTAGGTGTAGTGAGGACGGGTTTGGGGCTTTGCTGACAGTAGGCAGACATCCGGCGACCTGTTGGGACACTATCAACTCCTCCAGGAGAGCACAGCGTGTTAATTCATTCATAGTTTTTAAAAGCCCGTTGCATTTCTGAGTGTCCACTAGAGCAGAGACCCAGCTGCTTGTCCAGAGACGTTCTGACCTCGCTAAACTACAGCTCCAAAACCTCTTGGCTTGAATTTAAACTCCTTCTGGGCCACTGTGACAAGGGCAATGTCGCTCCTCTCCGTTTTTGTGAGCCACTCATTATCTGCGGAGAGTGATAAGATACCAAAAGAATGCGAAGAGGAGAACGGTTCCACTGTTTTCCCACAGCTGTTTCTTTTTACGGACGTTGCGAGCTTCGGTTTTGGACTTTTTAAAGCGTCTAACTTGCGGGCTAACCCCGGCCGAGCGGAGACACCGTCTACTGTTGTCATGAAAATATGAACTGTGGCGATGCTGAGTCTCTGAAGCAGACTTTTGTCCCCGAGGGAGCTGAACCCTGACCTCCCTCTGAAGAGGACGGGTGTCTGGAGAAGAGATGGGAGTCACATTAGTGAAGAGTTAAAAGGAAAGGATCTGTAAGGGAGGGGGGGGGGCAAAAGGAAAATGAAATGAAATGCCCCTTTTATGTGTGTCAGACCACCGACTTCTGAATTCATTTCGGTTTGCAGAAGAATTGCATTTCAAACTCTCAAACTTATTGGAAGCGCTTCAACAACAAGGGGGGGGTTGAATGGGAGCCATGCGCCGTTGGGTGTTTGGCCCCAGAGGCGTGCTGATTGATGGGTTAGACCTGCCGTGGATGGGGAGGGAGACTTTCTCCTCTTCGTCGGGCGGGGGGGGGGGGGGGGGCGAACAGCAGCAGGGGCTGTTTGGTTCTGAGCTGCAACCAAACACGCTAAATCAGTTCAAATGATAGTCGCATGGCCAAGGTCTCATGACCGGACTCGGTCTGGAAACACACAAAAATGCAAGCAACCACACAGACACATACACACACACACTCACACACACACAGACAGATGCTCACGAGCGCTCTTGTGACCATACGTTTGTGCACTTAGTGATAAAGAGGAATGAATTTGGACAGCGTGCGCTCTCTTTTTCTAAATGAATGACTGACAAGTTTAGTTTTTTCAAATGGAGATATGTATGTGGCGTGTGTGTGTGCGTGTGTGTGTGTGTGTGTGTGTGTATGTGTGTGTGGAACGGGGTACAACAAAGATCCTTCTGTGGGTGAGACTGACCGCAGGCTTTTCAGAACAGCTGATTCTCAGACTGTGAAGCCCCGGGTCCCCAGAGAGAGAAGATGGCCTTGGCTGCCAAAACAAAAAATAGACCCGTGTCCCCATCTTAAACTCCATCAGCCCGCCGTGATGGAGGGTGGGGGGGGGCTGCGTTATCACTTTGGCCCGGCGCTAACACCGGAGCTGCTGTTTTTGAGCGTGAACTGGGAGGATTGTGGCAGCTCTCACATGGAAAGCGTCTCCCCGGGGCTCTCCTCGAGAAAAAAGCTGAGGACGGACACAAAAGAGGAGAGAGTGCGAACGGCAGATGGAGGGAAGGGAGAGTTTGTGGATGAGGAGAGTGGGAGGAAAATAAAAGGAGGAGGTGAGGCTCGCGGTGGGAGAGCGTGTGGAGATTAGGGATCAGGAAGGAGTGGAGGGAAGCCTCTGTCGACAGCTCAGACAGGAAGCCGCAGCTGCACACACACACACACACACACACACACACACACAGCTGCTGGAGTTATATCCTTTAACCCTGAGCGCCCGTGGATGGAGACAAGGCAGCTGTGTTGCGCCACGCCCCCCGTACACTGTGGTAGTTCCTGTTTTGTGTTGTTTATTTTATTATTTTTTTGTTTGAGTTTTTGACTCTGACAATGCAATTGTTTGCTCTGGTTTTGCAGAGCATTGTGGGCTTCTAATTCTGGCCCTGGTGGAGACAATAGAGTATTGTTAGAGAACCGGATGGGAAGGGGGGTGGGGGGGGGTTGTGGGACAGGGAGCGCTTTTCTCTCACTCTCTCTGTCTCCACAAAGAAGGGGATGTTTTATCTTAGTTCACCTTAACCTTTTTTTTGTTCTGTTTATTTTCTTAGGAATCATAGTTTTTTTTCTTGGCATTTCATATTTCAGCTTTTTTTTTTTCTACTAAAATGATGAAGAAAAAATGTTCAAGATTTAAGTATTTTTACATTTTGTTTTAATCCTTGCCAACAGAGCTATAGAATATAACTGAACTAAATTTCTAATTCCAGTGTCTAAGGTTGAGCCTCTCATAATATTTCTATTAAATATTCATGAAGAGCCCTCGTTGAGTTTCAAGTCACTCCAACGAGAGTGTTTACTCCTTTTCTGATTATGTGATGATAACATATCTGAGTATGTGATGGTATCAGGTTTCCGCAGAAACAGGTAAAAGCTGGAGTATGAACAAAGTGAATCTATACCATGAGGTAAAGTTCAAGATCAGTGGTTTTTGGGAGGATTGACACTTGGTTTGTTTAGCTGATTTTCACAGTTCGAAAAGGAACTTTCAGCAGTTATTGCAGTGATCAGGCAATCCAAGTTTTGAAAGCTTTCCTCAAAGCTTTCCTCCACGCAGCTGCCAAACACTCTTTGCGTTAAAAGGATTGATGCCCACAGCAGACGGCTCGGAAGAAAACAGCAAAGAGCAATTTCCTGATTTCATAATGCAATTAAGAAATGGCACTAAATGTGACGAGATTAAGCCAAGTGGTGGTGTGGAAGACCGACAAAGCTTTCTCAAGAAGAAACTGATCAGAAATAAGATTTAGAAACAGGAGCTGTGGAGGTACGCTGTTCCAATAGGCGACAACGCCCACTCAAGTTCAGCATCAGGAGTTCTCCAACAAGTTTGGTGACTCAGAAATACAAGTTGCTTCTGTAGGTATCAGACCATCTGCAAACAAATACACATAAAAAATCCACACAGGATAATGGACGAATCTGAATTTGAAGAGTATTTCGGCCTTAAAAAGAGCTTCTGAGCTTCTCACCATGGGACTATCAATCTGGAATAGAAAGTCCAAGAGCCTTCAGCCAATGAAACTTTCCACTGAAACCCGAATTTTCATGGAAGTGTTTCAGAGTTTAAAGCTCTCAAACCCTGAATGATCCAGTCCATATTTACTTTAGCAGGTCAGTTGATTATTTTTTAAATAAAAAGTCAAAATGAGTTTTGAGCTATTTGTTTAGGATTTGAACCGTCAAAAGCCCGTATCTTTTGCCAGGCCTCTCGTCATGAACAACTGAACTGACCAGCAAATTGCGGCCCTCGGCGCGTTAGCCGTGTCCTGTCTCGGCTTTTTTCTCTCCGCCTCGGCCCCGTTTCCTTCATGGCAGGAAGCTTCCTGCCCTCTCCACCTAACCTTCTTCTCTCCCCGTCTCTTCCCCTTCTCCCCTCTTTGTTGGCTCTGAGCAGGCAGGATGTGTCCAAAGTGTGTCACGGCTTTTTGGAACAATGTCGAGGTCAAACCCAACGCACAAACAGCCGCGCGCGTCCGCACAGACACAGACGCGCACGGGACGTTGGAGTTGAACCTCAAACAAACAACAACAAAAAAACAAACGGTTCATTTTTTAAGGAAAGCGTGAGATTTTCCACGGTGTCCATAGGCGTGTCTGAGGTCGAGGCACATCTCTTCCCTGTCAGCTGTTGCAACAGGCGCTAAGCTCCGAGTTCCAAACGGCCTTCCTTTCCCCTCGCCCAACTGCCAGTCCCACTGTCCTGGAGGGCCTCGCATGTGCGCGTTAAACTGATATATTAGCTGCGCTCCGTGTAACGGCAGAAGCATTTTAGCTATGCTGAAAGTCTGCCTTATGGGATGTTTTATTCTGAGCTGAAGGCCATTTGCGCCGAAGAGGGTCTTGTGTTCGTCCCATCCAAAGTAAAAACTGGTGTTTTGCTTTGTTGCCAGTGGCGATGGAGCGACTTGTGAATGAGCTCGGCTGCCTCCTGAAGATGCTGGACCATGAGACGGTCAGCCCTGCAACGGCTGACAAGATGGCCTCCGTCCGTAACATCATGGACACCCTGCAGATGTCAGGTACTAAAACAAGGAAGTCCGTTTTTGTGGCTGTTTTCATCACATGAATACATTCTAGCCATTTGTAACTATAAGGTGTTTACGGCAAAGTGAAATTTCTGCCTTCTGGAGTGAACTCCTGTACCATTTTTTTTTTTCTTTGTCTGAATGACTAACACTTTTATTGTCCAATCCCTTTTTGTGTAAGTTATATCCAACAATATCCACTATGTTTAGACCATGTTGGTGTCTCAAAAGTGTTCATCTTTACGTTCAGAGCTGATCTCCCTAATACTTTTTAAGAAAGAAAAGAAACAGAAATAAGGTTCCATTCAGTCTTCTAACTGAAATATGTGATGGCTCCTTTGGTCTGTTACCCCGCCACTCGTACAATGAGGAAAGAGAGACGTAGACAATGCATGGATGTTTTTTATTTCTCCCTGTAGTTTTATCATTAGCTGATTATACTTTCTGGAATTTACTTCCACAGGAATTCATATCCTTTGTTTTGCCTTACTTTCTTTCTTTTTTTTTTTTTTTTTACAATGATTTGGTTTTCATTTTGGATCTGGGGTCCTATTGAGTCAGTGTATAAACTCATAGGTTTTTGTTTAATTGGACAATAATTCTTAGTTTGTTAGGTACATTTTGGCAACACAATTTCTTGGATCCTTTTTGCGAAAGATTATAGTTTACCTTTAAAAAAATCCAAATCTAGGACACGCTACAAAGCTACATTCCCATTATGGGGTCACAGGTTCTGCCAAAAGAGTCCATCCTATGATTATCTCACACTTAAAAACTTTCCCGTAAAAACAATAAATCTTAAACTCGTATACAAATGCTTTGCACCCAAAACCATTTATCTTAAAAATCTGGCATTTTTTAAGCAATTGGGTGGCTTTATTTTCATGGGCAAAAAAACAAAAAAAAAACACAGAGACTGCTCAGCACACTACTCCAGTTGCTGTTATTGGTTTGAAAAATAATGATAAAAAAAAAACAGTATTTGCAACATTAAATCTCCCTGTGGACTTTACAACCAATCCCTATTTATCTGGAAGTGTGCAGGAAGTCAGGGAGGATAAAGGGATTGATGTAAGAGGATAATGAAATGCAAAGTTTAAAGGGGATAATGAGGCAAGGTCAAGGGAAGGGGACAAACAAAATATCCCGCCGGTTGACAAATGTAACAATGGGCTGTTCAGAACACACGGAAAGAGAAGCAGGGAGCTGCGAGGCCATCACATGCATTTTGTGACCTCTAACTTTTTGTTACTCCTTTAGGACAAGCTTTCACAAGCTCCTGTCTGCACTCCTCGGTTGCCTCATAGTTTTTTTTTTTTCGTTGTTGCCTTGCACAGGTTCCCTCTGCCTGAGCAGCCTCTGAGATTAAAGCTTGTATTTTCAGTCAGTCCGGGCAACGCCACAATCTAAACCCTTATGCTGGTGCTGTTTCTAACGTCCAGTTTGTGTTTTCCACAGTCAATGGATCAGACGTCTACATGAACAGTTGTCTGTATGGAAACGGAACTAGCTTTGTAGAGTCCCTGTTTGAGGATTTTGGTTAGTAGACCTTCGAAACAGTCCAACTGATTGTTGATTGTGACATGCTTGCAGCAATCCTAAGATGATGAAACATGTAAAAACCTCTCATCTGTTGTCCAAACAGACTGCGATTTGCACATGCTCAGTGCATCTCCAGAGGAGCAGAAAGAGCAGAAAGATGAAGCAGAAAAGACTCTTCCTGATAAATCTGTAAGTCATTTACTGTGTACCACACATCTGCTTTAGCCTCATGTCCTGTTATACCCTCAGTTCTGGTTTAACCTCCACTTTTTTTAGACACCAACCGACACGCCTCCTCCCCTCCCAGCTACGCCCCTACCCGATGACTACTATGAAGAGGCAGTTCCTCTGGATCCTGGATCCACCCCACAGTACTTCACCACCAATATGAACCGTCAGTTCCGTGCACTTCACACACTCAAAGATTTGATTAAGCCAATTTAAACATCCTATAAGTTTTACCTCTCACAAATGTTCCCCATTTAGCCTCTAGGAACTCAGTGGAAGATGCTTACTATGAAGATGCTGACAATAACTACCCCATCACGAGGATTAATGGCCCTCCCAAGAGCTCCTGTGAGTCTGCCCAGCCCCTGAGCAGTTTAAATATACATCTGTGAACTGAGGCCTGTCCTGTATATGCTTTAAAATTGGTGAGTGGATGTTTAGTAAATTAATCATCTGTGATGCGTTTGATGTCCAGACAATGACTCGGATGCATTGAGCAGCTCCTACGAGTCCTACGAAGAAGAGGAAGAGGAGGCCAAGGGGCAGGACGCATCTCAGACGTGGGCCTCAGTGGAAAGTCCAGATGGACCGGTCAGAGACTGCCGCATCTGTGCCTTCCTGCTGCGGAAAAAACGCTTTGGCCAGTGGGCCAAACAGCTAGTAGTTGTCAGGGACAACAAACTCCAGGTAAAAAAAATTAAAAAAGCAGTAGGAACGTGTTTAAATATTCATATCACAGCTTTGGATTGTGACATATCACTGAGCTACCTTTGAAATCCTATTGATATTTGAACAGCCCCACTGTCTCCCACAGTGACTCCACGGCAGGCGTTAAATAACATTCACTCACATATTCAAAGGCTGTATTTAAAACCAAATGAATACTTTTCCTTTACAGAGAGAAAGCCCAAGCTTCATGTGTCCGTTTGCTCATAGATCTCCCTGTCTGTTTTTTTTAATAGTGTTACAAGAGCATCAAGGAGACCACCCCCCACACAGAGCTCCCGCTGAATCTTTGCAATGTCATCTATGTGCCAAAGGAAGGCCGCAAAAAGAGACACGAGTTGCGCTTCTCGCTGCCTGGGGGCGAAGCGCTGGTCCTGGCAGTTCAGAGTAAAGAACAGGCACAGCGATGGCTCAAGGTGCGTTAACATGCTGAATCAGAGGGCTCTGACAAAGATGAAGGCGCAGCAGGTGAGCCGTACGGTTTTTCAAAGAGAATGATTCTTTTTTTCCCCTCTGTCCAGGTGGTCCATGATGTTGGCAGCCAATTTAACAACTCGGAGGGACTGAATGGATCCACTTCTCCCATCATACAGAGGAAGCTGGAGCTCGACAAGGTGCCAGTGTCCTCTTGTTACCTCCAGTTTATCTACTGTGTAGTTGTTGTCCTTACTTGTGTGCGTCCTGAATTCAAATATGGCCTCCCTGCACCGGCGTGCCCGTCAGTGGCCATTCCTGAATCAGCCTGCTTATTCATTTCCTTCTCAATCTATATCCCGGCATTTACATTTCAGCTTAGCTGATGTCACCTCTGTCGGCCCACGCATGACACAACTATTCCTTTGGTTCCTGGTTTACAAGCATTGAGTGATGTGACATTATTGCGGTTGCTGAGCTGGCTCACTTTAGGAGTTTCATGTCCTGAGAACAGTGATGCATGGTGACATGGCAGCTACACCCAACTCTGGAATGAAGGTTCCAGAAAATGCACACATGAACACTTACTTAGCGGAGGTATTCTGCTAATTTCAGTAAAGATGATTTAGGTCCAGTGAGAGGTTTTGCTAAAACGACATGTACTGTATGCGGTAATCCTTTTTTTCCCCTTCAGATGCTGCAGTCTGACAGGCAGGCATCGGACTCGGACAGTGGGCCGACAGCAGACAATCAGTCCACCGGGCATGGGCCGGGCCGGGACACTACAGACTCTCTTAGTAGGTGTAACCTCACAGGAGGCTCCAGTTTAAGTAGAGAGTTTGTGTCTGTGGGATTTGCCCATCGTTTAGAGTCATTACGCCGACTCTTGGGAAGTTCCACATGATTACGCTTGTCACACTCTGTAAAATTGTTGAAGGTCACTTTGGAAAATTAGTAAGCGTGACTTTGAAGACTCTGTGAAACACAGATGATGCTGTTTTTAATACTTAGAAGAAATGTTCCACATGCTTTTGGAAACGAATTTAATTTATTGCACTTCAGGCAACACATTTTTCATTTCAGTCAAATCATCGGTGTCAGATTACTTTTAAAAGCTTGGGAAAGCCCATTAAAAGTCCGTATTTAGGAGGTGGAGGAATAACCTAAAGGACTTTCACCCAGAAGATTTACACTTTTCATTTGGGTTGTGACATTAAAACTGCTGGGTGTAAGAAAACAGGCTTTTGGTTGAATACACACACAAAAAAAAACAACTCATTGGACAAGCTTCCGCTTTCCCTCACATTTTTTATGTTTTCTGAGTTACCAAGGTGACAATAGTTTCAACAGGGGTATTACCAAAAAAAACTCTTACCAAGGCATTAGGCCCTTATTACAAACATTGAAACACTTTTGTAAACTTTTTAATAATCATAAACCGGTACTTTGCATTAAACTGGACCAAGGGAACTTTGTAGAGAAATGGGTTCCCTTAACCCCCTATGTTTGAATACATACCAGCAGAATTGTGAATTCCTCACTTGAAAACAGTATGTTATGCTAACTAGTAGCAACCAACCTACTCCTGCTGTGTGCTTACTAAATGCACCTCTCATTATGTTCTGGATATTTAATTACCTAAATGTTTTTGTTGTACTTTACTGATTTAAGCTCAGTGAATGCTAATGCTATTTCACACTAATGAATTCAAAGTACTGTTTTATCCAGACAGGTGATTGAAACCCTTTTGGCAGCACATGAATAAGAATGAATTTATAACAATATCAATAATAACACATATATACACTGTGTGTGTGTGTGTGTACGTGTGTCTGCGTGTGTGTAGGTGTAAATATAAGGGTTTCCCGTATATCTTTGTGTTGATGAAAGCTACAGCTATAAAGTCACATCCTAATCAACTAGTAATAAACAGATAATAGTCTTGCTTTCTCAAAACGCATTCTTTCATCTAAAAGGGCAGAAGAGCACGCGGACATAAACAAAGAAACTGTCTGGAGTCTAATCAGAAGGACCAACACTGTTTTTGTTTTAGATCGACAAAATTAGCGAGGAGAAACCCCGGAAATCTATGATCTAAGGTCAGAAAATAGGTTCAATGGAGTCTTGTTGTGTCAGTGCTGTCGTGGTTTGTTTGCCCGCCAAGCAGCTCCGAACCTAAAGGGACATGAGAGAGAGTCAGATACAGGAAGCGAGGCCCAGGCAGATCAGACATCCGTCCTGTCCTCTTCCTGGGATTGTCTTCCACTGACATCATAGGAAGCATGGTGGAAACAGCCCTACTGCAGCAGCTTTAAACTGAGCCGAACTCGCTAATACACATAAAGACTTTATATATAAACCCCAATTTGATAGATGCTCTTTGACAAAAATGCATTTCCTCCTATTATTTTCTCTCATTTATAGTCATATAGAATCATTTTAGGTGTTAATGTAATGCAGGGTGTCGCATTTCCGGTTTGAAAACATTGGCAGTGCTAATATGACATGCACACAACAAGATGAGGGGACATGATGTAAAGCTTATAATCCATGTGTGCTTGGCTTCAGGCAGGGGGAAGCGTGGCGCATTCTCAGAGCTTACAGGATCAATGAGCCGAGCCGCAGGGAAGAAAATCAATCGAATAATCACCTTCTCCAAAAAGAAGCCCCCTTTGCCAGGAGACCTTCCCTTGTCTTCTGGCCACCATGACAACCCCCGCTGTGGTGAGGACACAAACTTATCAAAAAGCCACTCTGCTGATTGGCTGGCTGAGTAGTTTGTGAATAATAAGTAATCCATGATAAGATTATTTTCTATTAATTCTTTTTTTGTGTGTGTTATATACTAATGATAAGAAACTCGGTTCACAATCACAGAAAAATGCAGCCAAATAAAAGATCATTTTTGAAACTGCAGGCCTTTGACTACATTTTGCTGATAATTTTCAGTGAATGAAGTATTCGTTCTCACAACTTGCAGCTGTTAATACTTCATTTCTTGCCAAGACTTTGTTGTATTTAATGCATTTTCCACTGTTTGGGCACAGTGCATTAAAACTAAAGTAATCAAAGTGGGATTTCTTGTGCAGCTGCCAGAGTTTCTCTTAATGTTTGGCAGTGCATTAGAGCAGGAATGATGTACGGCAAGGAAAGTATAGGAAGGAGAAGCCAACTCCAAAAAGATTCTTTCTGTGGTGTGGGTCTTAAAGAAATAAATGCTGTGTGTTAATGTAAGTGTTTTACTAACCTTACACATTTTCTATTTCTACCCACAGGCTATCTCAGCGTGTCTCTGAGTGGCTCTTGGAAGGAGCGGTGGTGCGTGCTTAAAGGTGGAAGCCTGTACCTGCAAAAGGACCCTGGGGACCAGCGGCCCCCGGTCATTGTGGTGCCACTGAAGGGGGCAGAGGTCGTGCCGGGGGGGCTTGGACCTAAACATCCTTTCTCCTTCCGCATCCTGCAAGGGAGCAATGAACTTGCAGCATTGGAGGTGCAGGGTTTTAATTAAATACATTGATCTAAAATGTCTTCCACTGATTTTTCTCTTTCTCTTTTCAACATTTAATACTGAAAACATAAAAAAACATAACTTTGGATAGTCAATCACATGTTAAGGTAACATCATATCTACCTAAATGCATTATTCATCTGTGATTATCACGCCTACATGTTAGTCTAATTATAGACACACAACTGGAACTGGTCAGGAAATAAAAAGTGCATTTGCTTTGCAGGATTATTTTTCTGTTGTTTTCCAAACTGTATTGAATCATTGTATCATATTTCATTTTATTGTTTGTCCAAGGCTCATTCTTACTTGTAACTATAGATTTGAAGATAATCCGTAAGGGTTGAATTTACATCTATAAAGATTTATATTCATTATATTCATTACATGATAAGATTGCTTCAAAAACAATTGTAGTTTCTCTATTACCTTTGGTTGTACACTATGTTTGGGTTAAGGAAAAACAAAATGGGGCTTTAACTTCTTTCTGGGATTTTGAGTAGGCAGGCTGGCTTATTATTTGATGGCTCCCTCTCTGTTGTGAGTACCTAGATGCTACGGCTTAAGTTTTTAGCATATCTATTTCTGTCTGTGTGGTGTCCATCAGGCCGGCTGCTCTGAGGATCTGGGCCGCTGGTTGGGTGTCTTGTTTGCAGAGACTGGCAGCGCCACGCTCCCCGAAGAGCTGCACTACGACTACATTGACGTAGACACACTCACCGACATACGACACGCCGCCAGACACTCCTTCTTGTGAGTCACCTCACTTCTGTGCACGCAATTCACTAGAATCTCCCGCTTGTGATCACAGTAGCAAACTGTGGCTCTCAGATCTCGGCCTAATGACCCCCTTTCTTTATTTAGAAAGACAGGAAAAAAATGGACTTTCCAACCATCATTCCATTTAATGGTCCAACCTCAAAACAATCCAGCTCTAAAAAACAAAGTTGAAGCAAAAGTCTGGCAGTATACTTTGAAAGCAGTCTAATCGGCAAAAAAATAAAAAGAAATTATGTTCCATAAGAATCATCCTGATCAACAATGAAACCATCACACCTTAGGTGCCAGATTAGGCCAATACGGACTCAAATTGACACAGGATGAGGACCAATAACCAGTGATCACAAAGATTAGGACATGTAACTGTTAGCTCATTTAATTCCATTTAGAAATGTCCAAAGAATAAAGTGATTTTTTAGGGTCAAGAGAGCTGCACTGGTTCTCCTCTGTCTTGTTATAAAACGGTTCTGAAATACAAAACCCTTCCATTCTATACCGTTCTCTTTTCCTCCTGTAGGTGGGCTACGTCCACCGCTGCCTCCACCAGCAGTGCGTCAGTAGACTGCATAACGTATGACGAGGTCTATGAAAGCATTGCGGTAAGGACACACAATTTGAGAAATGTTTGAAAGTTTAACCCACAAATGTTTAAACAGCCGATTTTTCCTAAGTCTTCGCCTAGTTCTCTGTTGTTGTATCTCCTATTTTTTTGTCTGTCTTTGGCATTCAACTGACAGTTAAAGATTCCAAATAAACTTAAATGAGACTTAAAGACCAGAAGCCCCACATGCTTCCTTGACATTCTTATTAGCATCCATAGTTTTCATTACTGGTCATCCGGCCTTCATATCTAATTTTCTCATTGTGTTTAAAGCATTAATATTATAACATTATTTATGCGCGGTGCAAAAATACAAGCTCATTAGCATATATGACAATTCCTCTTATTGAACATGGGTTTCCATTCTACAGATATTCAGCAAAATCTACAAAAAAAACTAATCCAGTAAATCATCTACTAGGCTAGGTTTATTTAATGTTCCCGGATGTTGCAGGATGAAGATGTGGAGAGCAAAGCAGGTCAGGTGAGACGTCATGCGTCCTTCTCCAGCCGGGACTCGGAAAAAACCGAACAACAGGCTGCCATTAAAAGACACGCCTCCAGTGAGTCTTTTTTTTAATCATTTCATCATTTTCATCATTTGCTTTAGAGAAAATGTGGTCACTGTGAGATACCCCCTCCCGCTCATATTTAGTTCAAAGACTGATGGCGTTTCTTATCAGAAGGCAGCAGCGACTTGGCACTATGTATTCGAATGGCTCTTTCATTTTTTTTCTCTTAGATGTTAATCAGTATGGGCGATATGGGAAGATGAGAGCAGAGGAGGACGCCAGGCGGTACCTGATACAGAAAGAGGAGCTGGAGAAGCAAAAAGAGCAACTCAGAAATGAGCTGATCTCCCTCCGCATGGAGAAGAAGGAAGTGAAGGAGGAGATTAAGAGTGGAACGGGTAAAAGGAAAATCACCAACACAGCACTCTTTAGACTTGAGCTTTTGGAATGGCATTAAATACGAGCCTGCCCCGGCTGTGTGTAGGTTCAGGTCAGGGCGGGGAGAAGCGGCTGGCTGAGCTGGAGTCCTTGTGCAAGCAGAAGGAGGAAGAGAGGGTGGAGCTGGAGCTCCGACTGACAGAGGTCAAAGAAAACCTGAAAAAATCACTGGCCAGAGGAGCGTTAGATCCTCCCGCGGACACAAAGATCAATGTGAAGGTGGGCAGAAAAAAAGACGCAACCCAGACTACGTCCCGGGAAAAGTCTGGGACTTTGTCGCCACTCCTCCCTGTTTTATTTCTCATCCCTTTATTTCTGCATGTCTGTTTGTATTTACAGGCACCAGCAAGTAAGGCTGAGAAGGTTTACAATGAGGCCATCCCGGTCAACTCAGCATCAGAGCTTCGCAAAAGACCTCCGTCTGTTTACGCCTCTTCCAAGGGGAATGTCATGCAGAAAGCAAAGGTATGTGAGTATTAATTGCATCAGTCTGTACATTGGAACATGTTTTCTGTTTTGTTTTGTTTTTATGGTCACGCCAATAAAAACTGACACCACATAATCCCCGTGGAGGCTTTGCTGGAAAAAACGTCTCTCTGAAGGACAGGATATGGTCACTGGGTTATAATAAAGAGCACCTTATCACAAATGAAGTGCAATAGCAACAGTGCTCTCAGGGTTCTGGTTCTCAAACCTCTCCTGGCCAGAAAGACTCCATTGCCATGGTACTAGAAGATTTGAGGAGTAGACCCAGTTCAGTTGGAGACAATTGAGAGGCGAGCTTTTGATTACCCGATCCGATGCCACAAAGCGCTTCAAAGGAGTCCAGGGGAAACAGAACGACACGTGGCGTGATCGTAATGTTCTGACGGAGGCCACCAGAATAGCTGGAGTCTCTCTGCTGAGGGAGTTATTTCAAAAGGAGTGGCAGATGAGCAATGGAAACCGGGTAGGATACATGGAGCAACCGTGACAAAATCCACATGGGGAAAAACACCACAAGCTCAAACAGAAAGTAAACTAAACTGAAAGTTAAAGGCAAAGCCAGAGCTTTGCAAAAAAACAAATACAGAGATGAATGACACCCATTCAAAATGTGTGCTTTTCACTCATAAAAGTCAGTCAATAGCTCATCATGGCATCCGTATCTGGATGAACTCCTTTTGATGATGCGTTTTAAGAAATATTGCAAACTGATTTCACATTTAAATCCATGTGTGTATAGAAATGTGATTTACAGTATGGGAAGGGAAATGGAGTGTGTGTGTGTGTCGCCATAATTGATGATGATATGACTGCTTTCAGATTCCACCGACCACATCATTTTGGTTTGCTCTGTCATGAAAGCTTTCATTTCTCTGAGAATGTTGGCAATTTAAAAGCCACTTTTGGTCTCGTGTGAATTGGGTGTTCTATGTTTTGTCTTTTTCGTTTCTCCTAATTCTTATGAAAACACTTTGCTCGTTACCGGGCCTTCATCGTCAATAAGAACTTGTTCTACGTGATTTTTCCGATTAGATTTGAAAATAAATCAAACATGTTGTTGTGGCTGGTGGTGCAGGCTTATGTGTGTTTGCAGTGACATAAATATTGTATATTGTGTTTTCTTCACTCTGTGCTGTCTCGTGGTTTCCAGGAGTGGGAATCAAAGAAGGGGACCTAGACTGAACAGAAAATGATCCACCGATGGATTCATGGAAAGTATGACCTTGACGTAGGAGAACCATCCTGCTGTCGGCAGGATGATGTGAAAAGCAGAATGCAGGAAGAGACGGTTATCTAGCACTAAGGAGAAGAAGACGAGAAGGAGGATTCGGTCAGAGTAAATTCTTCCATCCTCACATATATGGAAAAGCACAGACAGCTTGATGCTGCCTCAACCACTGTAAATATGACAGAATTGACTGATATACCGACTGAGTATTAATGGGATCACTATGAACAGTACATATATACAGAATCTCCATGTGTGGTTGCATGTGTGTTTACATTGGCACCAGGTTGCAAAAAGTGAATAAATAAGTATTGCGTAGACGTGCATAGCAAAGGGAGAGTTTGGTAAACAACACTGTGAGTTCAGAGTTACCAGCAATACTTCCTGCCTAAACCCACTGGTTTTTATTGGTTTTTAATGCACACGACTCACATAACAATTGAAAAACAAGTGAAAAGTTGTTTCTGTCATCTGAAATTCTAGTTATTAGAGAGAAAAAGCACCTAATATGTCGTATTTATATCTAAAAGAAGAAAAGTGTGACACTGTTCCTGCAAATAAATAAATGTTTATGGTCGCAATGTGAAGAAAAAAAAACAGTTTTAAACCATAACATGGGTATCTTTTTCAAATATGACTCTTGCACTTTATCTTGTGTTTTTGTATTTTAGAATTCTATAAATGTTTTTGGATATTATCATTCATGCCCCAATGCAGCCAAATCTTTAAAAAAAGAAAAAAAGAATGCCTTTCTCAGCGCACTGTTGTGAATAAAGACGCATATGTTGGAGTAAATGAGTACTGAAAAGAAACATATTGTCCTGTGTTTTTTAAAGATGAGTGGAAGATGCCAAAATGCCCCTGATATCTCAGACCTCCAAACACCATCTATAATGATATATATAACTAGTCTAAGCTAAATTTACCTAAAGTTGTTGAGCTTCTCTTGATGTTCCCAATACATAAAAATCATCCTGTTCTTTTTGTAAATGTAGACATTTTTTTCTCCTCTCATCAGTGGAGCCTCCACTTCCTTGGTGCTTCTTGGCATGCAAGAGATGAGTTTACATCAGCAGCCTGAATATTTTAATGTGTTAACAGGTTACATATTCAAAACTTGCTCACAAACCGTGGTCTGAGTAAGCAAAAATGAGTTCTACTGCACTCCTCTGTTAAAGGATCAGGTTTTAAAAAATAAAAACCACCTCAGGATAAAATAAAATTCTCCCCCGGTACAGCAAAGATGAATGTAAATTTAGACAAATACACGGCACATGAAGAATTCAGCATTATGTCCAGCTTTGTATGAGTGACAGTTACAACTTACAACTTAAATAACAACTAATAGTATGACCTAAATGTAGTTGAACCAGTCCTTTAAACATGAGCAGAACCTTTTCTTCATTCTTTTTTCCTCATACTGTAAACACTTTATCAGCTAGGACACTGAAACCCAATAAAAACAGTCCATTCATTTCTTTACAAATGGTTTATTTAGTGCATTTCTAGTTTGTCCACACCAGGAACCAAAATATGAAGTTGATCTGTGCTCCTATTGGTTCACCAAAGTTCTGGTCCAACGCTGTTGGTCCACTCATGTTCTGGTGCTAAACAATTGGTCCAGTGATGTTCAAACACCCTCACATTGGTTCACTAGTGTTCTGGTATCACACTATCGGCTCACTAGTGTTCTCTTGTGGTCAGGAACACAAAAGACCAGGAGAAAGAAAGAAAAGGAAACCAGGAAAAAATAAAAAAAAGAGAGGACCTTCGGCATGCTGCTACTGAGCAGAGGTCCACAAGCTTCCATGCAACAACAAACAAACAGCAAGAGACGACAACGACAAACGGAAAGATAAACAACAGCGTTGCTTGTAAGAAGTCAGCATGGAAGCATATACAGTAAACCTTATATTAACCTGCTGAAGCCTCATATACAACAGATCTTAAAAAGGTAAAATCCCACCCCCCGGACACGTGACACATGCGTGCGCGCACACAAACAGACTTACTGCAAGCCCACTACTCAACCTTTCTCGCACTCACACAGGCGCACCTGCATGCAAACAAATGGTCAGTCCTCACAAGTGTACGAGGAACACTTCGGCCGTTTTTTCTAAAATATGACTTAACCCCAAGAGCTCTGTGTAAACATCGCGTATGGTAGGATAGATACAGACTTTCTTCCTCCCTTTGTGACTCCCTGTTACTTTCTGGCCACTTTGCGTTTTCACAGCAACAGCCGAGTTAGTTAATACTTCGACTCTTTGGTTCTCTGTAACAGTCTGTTTATCTTAATGGGTGACTGACTGTCTGACTTTCTCCTCTTCGTGTGGATTATGGGTCTTTTTACACTACAGCAGAAAGAGAGGTGGAGGGAAGAGATTCACAGGTCCAGTCCCTGCTCACACACCGGGCCAGCAGACGGATTGATTGTCCTTGATTTATTTACATCACAGTCAGTCACAGTGGGCTCCGTGAAGTGGAAGAACGCATTCCGGCCATCCCCCCCTCCTCCCCACCATTGTTCTCCTCACCTCCTTCTACCCCCTCACAAGCCTTTGTGGGCGTGTCAGCCTGAGATCTGAGTGTGTGCCTGGGTGTCTGCGTGTGTGTGTGTGTGTGGTTGTGTTGTTGGATCAGGGCATGGAGAGGCTAGGATAAGTCGTTGTTGCTGGGCGTCTTCCCTCCGCCGTTCAGAAGGGCCGAGGCGCTGCGGCTCTTGGTCGGCGTGCCGCTGCCCGAACGCGAGAGTTCCGTCAGGTCGTGGAGGGAGGGCTCCCTGTACATGGCCACTGAACACACACAAGGACAGGAGAATCAGTCATCCGGTTCATACTGCGCTGCTCAGGTGTGGTACGGCACGGTTAAATGCATTTTCATGGGCCCTTTTAGCCACTCAGAGCACTTTACAGTCCAAGCCATATTCACATATGCACTGTTTAGTGAGTTAATTGCAGTTCGTCCTGAGGGGAAAACACTTTCATCTCTCACTTTTAAGATGCATAATTGCCTCTCTCTATAAGTTTGAGAAGATTAACAAGTGATCTCATAGCTGTAATTGTCCTAAACCATACACAAAGTAAGCATCATTTCCATCAAATTACCAGTTAGCGCACAGTGACACGTCTGCAGATTACAAACAGAGAAAAGACCTGTTGGGAGCCATGTTTTTTTCTGTTTTTTCTGTGTCCTTCTGATGACTGTAAGTCCAATATCAGCTCTCTTCTCAGATTAGTTTCGATCTCCACCAACTCCTTTGGGAAATGACCCAGAACAACAACTGGAGCAACTTCTTAACTGAGGTTATGAGGTCGCTTTCTGTTGCAAGTCAGGTAGGTTTTGAGAGCTATTTTTCATCAAAAGGCTGTTTGTTGGCTGTGTGTAGGAGTGATTGTGAAACTAAATCAGCCATTTTGTCGTTTGAACACTCCAAGTGATAAACAGACTCATGCTACATGTAGTCAAACTAAGAAAATTGATACTTTTTTCAAATTAAAAATAAATAAATGTAGTTAGATGACGACAGGCTGTGAGGACGCATTACTGAGAGCAGAGCTTTCCAAGGAAATACTAATGTCATCTATTGTTCATGAAGAAAACATATTCCATTTTCCTCCCTTCTTTCTTTTTTTCCTCCCCTTTTAATAACATATTGTTCATTTGCCGTGATAAGCCACACCCAAGCTTGAAATGTAGTCCTTCAAATTAGTTTTCACCAATTTTCCTAAATCTCTCTTTATGCTTTGATGATAATATCACTCACTTTCCTCCAAACTGCTTAAAAAATGCAAATGAAAATTTCACAGTTAGTCTCTTAAATCAAGCAATCAAACTGTACATAAACTCAATACCTTGGAAATGTTCTTAGAGATTATATAGTTTTGCAATTGTAAACTTTGATCACTGCATCTCATCATGAATATTTGAGGATCCCCTCCAAGGCTCATGAAAAAAAATCCTCTTAATATATTAGACAAACGGTTTCATGGGAAAATGTATTACAAGCAGCTCTTAATGTGAGCTTCCTGCCTCACAGGTCCAAAGCCAAAATATCAAGATCGATCTTCAGTTTATGCACAGCGTTGATTATAAAGTTAAAGATTTAACAACCATGTGAAGAAGTTTACTCACAATTTGAAAGAATGAATATTCATAATTTTACCCCAAGGTGATTTTTAGTCAGGCCTCTTTTCACTATGACTTTTTCTCTGTCCTTCATGAAGCTGCACAGCTTTGTGTGCATGTAAAAGCTTTACAAAGTTCTAAAGCCCACAGCGGAGGGGATTCGCATTTTCTCTGCTCCTAACATACTTCCAGGAACTGGGTTAGCACTCAAGGTTAGTCCTATTTCCTTTCTGCTCATCGCCATGTGACATGTTTGGCTCATCTTTACAAAATAAAGACAGGTCGCATCCTAGTCCATCGCTTTCCATCTATCAGTTAACCTAATAGAGTGTGTCAGACAGATGGGGGCAAGAGCTGCCTCCACGCTTTTAGGAGACAGTTACCGGGACATTTTTTTCACTGTGAAGCATGTAGATGTGTTCCAGTGGATGACCCAAATAAAAACTATGAGCATTCGGTTTCTTAAGAGAGCGCTGTCCTTTTTTTTTTAGACCTACCTTTGAGCGGTTTCGGGATGAAATGTGCGGCGGCCTTGTTCTTCTTGACGTGGTTCCCCTTCATGATCCCCCCTTCCTTGTTGAGTCCCAGGTACCAGGCCCGGCCGGAGGCCTGCTGCCGGTACAGCATGGAGGAGTAGGTGACGTAGTAGTTCTCAAACACCGATTCCTTGAACTTGCATTCCGGGGTAAAATGTTCCTGGGTGGAAAAGAGTGACAGACATTAGAACAAAATATCACATAAAAGGAGACAAGGGGTAAATTGGCATGAAGAGATGAAGGGTTTGCTGGTGGAGGAGCGGAGTCACTGGGAGGATGCCTTTGTGGGTTCAGTCCCCCCTCCCTTTCATCCATTGGCCGTGAATCTTTATATCCACCAGGTCCCTGGTTCCTTAGAACAAACTGCACCAACTTAAGACAACTGACATTTGCATTTCCTTATTCCTGCGTTGCCATGGCAACCGGCTACTCCCTTGAATACCAACCAGGCCCACTGGGAAAGATGGTACCCAGGTTGCCGGGGGAAACGGAGAGATCCAGAGTGGGTGCCTTTTTTATTTCTGACACGCACTTATCGCGTACGGATTCTGATACAGTTGGGAAATTGAGATCCTTAAATTAACTTGGGAGGAAATCATGAAGCACTGCGCTGTGCGTATTGTGTTGTGTGTGTGTTTTTTTTTGTGTGTGTGTGTGTGTTTGTATTCTGCCTTTAATATCAGGTCAGAAGATGAGACGAGTGATATCAGTGTTATGAGTGAGCCTGGCAGTCCCCAGACGAACAACGAAAAGCAACCAGGACTGGGCCTCAGAGATGAGATCTTTTGGTGTACGAGGCCAGAGAGTTCCACTGACTTGTCGACCATTTTTTCGATTTCCTCTTGTTATTTTTCATCACGTTGTCCTCTCGGCTTTGTTTACATCGTGGGAACTGCGTGTTATTTTTGTGGATCCTTCTTGTTATTGCTTCTTTGCCACCCACCATCAAAGCTGAAGAGCTAAAATGAGGTGTTTGAAGCCCGGCGCTGCGGCCAGCACTACCTTCTGGCCTGTCAGATTAAATAAAAGCACCGTGCCGAGGCATGTGTGAACCAAGTTGGGAACAGCTTGAAAATGCATTTCAGACAGAACTTTGTCTTAAAGAATGACTCACAGCAGTAAATAAAAAAAGGGGGAGGGGGGGTTGAGGGATTTAATGAAACCAGTCCTGAGAATCTACAGCTGTCAGGAGACAGCTAAGTGAGTCCTGGCCGCCGTGTTACAGCTGACTCACAGCGCCGTCATTAAGGTGTTGATGTGATGATGAAGCCATAATGAGTCCGCTCTCACTGTACGCTTCTGCTTCATTAGCCAACCTCAGAGAGAGACACCCCTCTAATGGTGATGACACCGGCCGTAATGACGCGTTTTAACGGGGACCTACCGAGGTGTAGACGAAGCCTTCGTTGTTCATGGCCAGGTAGAGTTTGTTCTGGACGCCCTGGATGGCCACCACGCGAAGCCCCACGGGGATCAGGTTGAACACGGCTGCACACAAACACAGCAGACACGTTCACATTCACACGGAGGTGAGCGGAGAACAACCCACGTTAGCAACAGTTACAGCCTGGAACGGAACACCGAGAAGTTCAGCCAGGCGACTGAACCCCACAAAAACTCAAGATGCGTGTTGTAAAACAACACAACGCAGCAAAAGTGTGACTAACAACTGGTAGTCCAAGGATATGTTTCAAGAGTAAGGCCACAGACTCAACAGTTACTCGATTCTTCTAGGAATGAAAAGGAATTGGAGAATATCCCAGTAGCTGAGCCAGTCTAGCCAAGGAACTCCATCCATAAATCTGTATCTTTTAAAGCACATTGTTACCCCAGGGACTTTGTGTCACAAAACCAGCTGGAGGAAACGGCTGCACCAACCACTCAGCTCAGCGGTGAGGGAAACTACACGATTTTGTGTGTGGAGCTTGTCATCGTATAATAGAAGCCACTTTCTCTTGGTGATGCTGGTTAATGCATGCATAGAAAAAATCTGCCCATGTCTGAAAACTCGTAAATCAAGTGCTGACAGGTCAGCCCTAATAAATGGGCGTACGTAATAAAGTACTGTGAACAGCCAAGCTTCTGATGGGTCAGAAAAATATGTCAAATTAGTCATTTTGTGCTTTTAAGTAGTGATTTTTATTCTATTCAATACATAGGTTATTTACATTTAACTACCATTTACAATCTGTTTATTTGTTTGTTTCATCTCTTAGTTTTTGAAGCGTTCGTAGAAACAGAAAAACAATTTCAAACATTTCTATAACAGACTGTAAGAAGGTGCCACGAGAACATAATTATTCCCTGCAGTTCCGTGAATCAAGCCATTGTTTAATTATTGTCATTCAGCCAACCATGTTCTTTTTAATGACTCGGGTTGTCGGAAATATGGATTACAGGGATTATCCCAGCAGACCCGGACACGGGCGACCGATTTCATGTGGGGAGGCGTTAACATGATGCATCCTGTATGTAATCATTTAATTAAATAACCCACGTCCCCGTCCTCCCTTTTTTTCTGCACACAACAGTTGGTGGCCTGAGAAGTCCCAGAGATGAACGCGAGATGCTGGCGAGGACAAATGTACGAGGGGGAGAGCGCCGAGCGTCTGAACGGTGACAGCAGAAGTGAATAAGCTGTGTCGATCACACATTGTTTGTGCGTGTGAATTAGAGGGAACAGCACAGCGCCGCTGACGTAGACTTTTCACCTCGTCAAACCTGTTATCTTTCTTTTCTTTCTTTTTTTCTGCCACCGGCCAATTTGCACTGCTCGTTGTGTTTGATATTCAATCGATTCATTAAACCGGGAAACATTTAGCTCAGAGAGTTTACAATGTTGTCATCTGACATTTGGAGAAAAAGAGTGTATCAACTCACTAATTAAATGAGCTCTTGATATGTTGTTTAGTGACTGCCTGAATAAAAACTGATTACACACACTTCCACAGGGTGAAGTGATCATTAAATTGGATTTAAGCTGAAGTTGGTTAATAGCCTCAAAGTGAGCATAAAGTCATGAATGAAATTGCCCCTTGCAAGATATAAAAGCTTTGATGAAATGCAATATTCTGCTGTAGCAGTAGGTCATAATAACTCATACTGAGAGTGCAGGAAAATACATTTTCAAACTTTGAAGTACAGGCACTGCTTCGGCGCAGCCTTAAATACTCCTTTTGTAAATAAAAAATGTATTTTTTCCACTGCTTCTATGTTGAAATAGAATTGTTTTATTACATATTCAAATTGATAGTATTGGATATTTTTAAAGCAAGACAACCCAACTCATAAATGTTCTTTTTTCTCCTTTTTTTTTTTTGAGAGCTTGCTTTTACAAATATGACACTGCGTTCAACATCCAATGCCTTTGGGCAGCTGATCAAAACAAAAGAGCATTTTTTGAAGATATCAGCTTGGTTTCCTCATTTACATTTTCCTATATTTTCTGACATTCTGACGCCAACGTGATTGATCTATGAATCCTGCAAGCACCTCTCAGATTAATTAGGGAAATGCTCAGCTGCAGCAACAGGTTGGTTTTGCGTAAAAGGAAATTGTTTTAAAGCCAGTCCCATTTTATGCACCTTCTATGATGAGAGTCAGGCTTACCGTGGGTGCTGTCTTCATCCTTGGTTCCATCGATGGTGCCATCAGGCTGCATCTGCAGCTGGAAGCCCTGGCGACTGGAGAGCCTGGTCACAATGCCCTTTAGTTGTGGCTCTGAGAGGTGAAGAGAGACTAGGTGTTACCCACATCCATGTCTTTTTACCGCTGTGTGTTCACGTCTATCAAACTCAGCAAAGACGAAAGTCTGAGATGAGAAGTTCGGATTTAAATTCACTGAGTTCAGAGGGCTGAGGGTGAATCTTTGACCCCTTTTTTGACAGCTAATTTAATCAATCGATCCACATTGTGTGAGCTCTGCCCACATTCTGATATTTACTTAAGAATAATCCAAACAGGTACTGCTACTTTAATGTGAGATGATGCAAAGTTAGCTGCTCCTCGTATTGTCATGATTTCACCACTAACACAAGGACCACAACAAGTTTTGCCTTCATCTATAAATGGATTTTTTGTCAAAATTCTCCTATTTTATGGCAGACTGCTGTGCCCGAGTCACAAATTGTTAATAATTCTCTTCATGTGAAGAATTAAAACTATTCAAACCTTGAACAGACAGGAGGAAGCACACAGTATCTATAGGTGACAAATGAAAAGATGATGGTGAGGCTGCCTTAGAGATGAGGATAAAATGGTGTTGGATGGTGCTAATGGTACTGGTGGTGATGGTGATGATGGTTGGTATGGTGGTGTGTTTCCCCATGTTCTTTCCAACTGTTCTTCCCTCAGACCTGGTGGTCGCCTTCTCTTCCGTTTCTTCCTCGATCCAAACAATTTGACTCGGGAGAACACGTTCAGCTTGCTGGGCTTCTCGCTGGTGCCTTTGCCGTTGCTGGGGCTGCTGCTGCCGCGGCAGGCATTCGCCTTCTCCCGCTCCCGCGCCTGCCGCTTCTGGCGGATCAGGGAGCTGGCGATAGCCGCTGCCCGGGACATGCTCCTCCGCAGATGGACTGCAACCAGACGGTGCGTCCCGGTCGAAGGGGGTCTTCACTGACAAGGTGGTGGGGGGGGGGGGGGGGTATGTGGAGTGCAGGGAACGGGGTCTACGCCACCCACGACTCAAGACTCAGTTTGCATCGCTGCAGACTCTTAGATTTCCACGACTGTGAGAAGCGTCCAGAATCATCCATCAGCGCGTCCGGACGCCTCACGGACGCCGTGAGACCAATCCAGTTCCGTTAACGACGCCTCCTCCCATCCCCCCTGTGGGGGGTCTGAGTGACAAAAAAAAAAGCTGTCTGACTCCCCCCCCTCACCCCCCCTTCTCCTTCTTCCTCAGGTGATTTTTTCTAAGGTGTCCCGAGAGAGCGCGCTGGTGCGTGATGATCCGGTTCCGCGGGTGCGAGCTGCGCGTCAACAGATCAGCAGCCGGGCGCCGACGGGGATGGGAACCGGACTAGTTGCTGCTGCTGCTACCTCCTCCTCCTCCTCCCCTTCCTCTCCCGCTGCTGCTGCCGCCGCTCTGCGCCTCTCCCAAGGTGACGATCCGCCGCCCAGATCTGCAGCAGCCGGGACGCTGGTCGGTGAAACGGTCCGGAGCTCGATCCGGAGGGAAGGGATCATGATGCAGCCGTGCCGTTCATAAAACTGCTGCAGCCCTGCCCGCCCAGAGGAAGAGGGGCGAAGAGGGGGTGGAGGTGTGGGAAGGGGTGGAGGGGGGAATGGAGAGGGGGGGGGGGGTGTTGTTCGGACTAGGTTGAGGGGGTTTAGGCAGCTCCATCATCATACAGGACACCTGTAGCCGTGCACCCCCACGTGGCATGATATTTACATGATCCACTCAATGCTGGTGTGTGATAGGCAGGGCCATTGAGTGAGGGTGAGGAGGGGGGGGGGTAATAGCTGGAGGAGGAGAATAATCAATTAAATAACACAGGCAGAGCAGACAAACGGAGGACTGAATGAGAAGTGGAATAATAACAGAGGAGGAGTGGGAGGAGAAACCAAGATACTGAACCTGCCTGTGAGTGAGAAGGAGGGAGAGGGGAAATGAGCTGGTGGGAAAAGAACCTACCAACAGATAGAAAAGGAGAATGCTGAATGAAGGGAAGGAGCATAAACGACAATAGTGGGGTGAGTCAGTGGACAATCAAAAGACAACTTAGATCTAAATAGAGGAACAAGGAAATGTGTGTGAAATATTGAAAGGGGGATCATTCAAAACTGAAGTGAATGAGAAATTGTGAAAATAGAAGGAGGGGGAAAGGGGGGGCTCTTGTCTTCTTTTGGTGCAGAGGTTCGCTGCTGAGAGGCTGCAGCCTGCAGGCAGGAGGTGACAGATGGAGCTCTTCAGTTCAGTTCGAGGTGTGTCATTTTTCTAGAGGTTTCCTTGTGTGGAGTGGAGGCAGGCGCAGGGCGGTAATCGGCCGCTTCATGCATGTCGGCTGGCCACAGGCAGCCCCCCCCCAGGAGAAGCCACGCGCAGCTGTCAGAGCCCGATACAGCTGCCGTGGCGCATGGCAAGAGCCACCCGGCTGATGAAGAGGAGGAGGAGGAGGAGGAGGTGGACTGAAAGCTGCCAGACCCACAGCAGAGGGTGACCCGCATGTGGCACCTGTCTGCCAGCAGCAGGCAGCAACAGCAGGCTGCTCTCCAGCAGGAAGCGTGATAGAAATCTATCAGTGAGGAGTGAAGAGGAGGAGAGGAGAGGAGAAGCTCATAGCCCACTGTGGGAGTCAGAGGATGGGGAAAGTGACGGGCTGTGGTCAGGACCTTATCAGTGAAATGGAACCTTTGATCCGCCACTTGCCAAGGAACCTAAATGGACACCTGTTGCCTTCCGACCAGGTAAGATAAACACATAAATACAGTTTTAAGCCTAATCGTAACCCCCGTTCCCTGAGACAACCCTTTACATGGTTAGTCATTCTTAACTGACGAAAAACACAAAACTAAATCAAAGACTAAAGGCTAGATCAAGAGTTTCATTTTTCTTATCTGAGATTCCTGATTTAATTTGTGCCAAGCCCTCCGGAAGCCAATAACCACAAACCGAGTATGGGGTAAACAAATATAATGACTCTGAGGAACATTAACACAACCAATTTTACCTCGCCTGCCAGTGACAAACAGAAGAGGATCAATCAATAACTTAATCAATGAGCAACACATGCACAACACTGAGGCAGGACTTTGGAAGATTTTGATAATAAAATACCAAAAACATCCACAACAAAGCAAAGATTAGCGACGGTCATTGTATACGATGCAATAGTAATCCAGAAGCATAGCACTGATCAGATGAGATTCAGAAGATCATAAAAGAGACACAATGGTACTCTTCGACTTTGATTTGTGAGCCATGAGAAGCTATAAGGGTGCCCATCGCGGTTCAAAAGACTAAAACTTTTTTTCGAGGTCAGTCAGCTGGAGTCAAGGTTTACTTAGTCTGCCCAAAAGTGTCTAATGTTAGAACACATTCAGAATTTATTGTCCAAGAAAGAAATTAAGCCGGGCATTGGTAATGGGATTCCTCATGAATGGGCTAATATGATTCTTCCTCTTTTAAAAGCCTGCTATGTATCTGACAGAGCTGTGCTCAGAAACTGATGGGCGCGTCCTGGGATGTTTTCAGCACCACGGACAGCACCTCCTGCTTTGTAGATACAATCTTTATGTGTGTGTGTGTGTGTATATATATATATATTACATTATATAAAGTTAAGTACACTTATTAGATATTTTAAGATCCACGAATACCGTTAATTAAACCAGAGACCAGTAACAAAAGTCTTTGTTTAGGCTTCTAAGACTTTCCGTGCCATATCCTGAAACCTTCCTGTTCTCTCTGCGCTGGGACCTTCTAATTCGGTTTAGAGTCCCGCTGATATAGTTTCAGATTTCATTACGTTTCTTTTTGTATGACCAAATTATCAACAGCCCGTCTTAAAGCTCTTCCTTCTGGCCTTACCTGAGGTGGATCGCCGGAGAGGGAAAGCCATGCTGCGCCCGTGGAGCTCCGCAGCCTTGTGTTCATGGCTTTTCGCACTTCCTGCTGTGCGCTGCTCCACCAAAAGAGGCCGAATTACAGAAGTTCAAACCCCAGAATTCTCCACGGTATTGGATCCATTAAGACTGCATACGTGGCGTTGACGGGGGATCATTACAGAACATTAGAGGCCATTAAGCCGTTGGAACCAGTCATCAATGATTCATCTGAAGGCCCTGCTGATCTGGCACAGTAAGTAAAGGATGGAGCCAGCGGGCCCTTCCCAAATCCAAGGATCTATTGACAAGATGGCTTGTTTTTTTCATTTTCATAGTGTGTGTGTGTGTGTATTTGAGCTAAATTAAAGTAAGACTGACACTACTGGGGCACAAGTATATGCAGCGCACCCTCAGTCCATAAGCAGAGCAGAAACTCAAACAAGTTCAGAGCGTTCTCGGTATGCTTTGATTAATAACGTGCCCTTTAGCTGTTTCTAAAAACTCAGGTAGCAGGAATAGTTCCATCAATGGTAAACCAACCGATTTACAATACATGATTAATGGACTAATCATTGAACGAAAATGTACAGAAAAATTAAAATTGCCTAAAACTTAAAAGGGTACCAACTTTTCCAAATTCTGTGTATTGATGAAGAGTAAAAAAAATATATATGAAAAAAATATATACGTTGACTTTAAAATTTCAAAAAGCAGTTTCAGCCAGAATGAAAAACTAAGGTAGTTTAATTTAATACATGCAATATTTCACCCGTTAAAATGAATATGAAATATCAGGTTTCAATGATCATTTGAATGTTTTCAATTTATTATAGTGTGTTTTTTGAGGAATACACAAAACATCACAAATGCATTATAAGATGAATAAAAAAGTGAAACCAGTGCAATTCTACTGATGTGAGGCCCTGTCAGTGCAGACACAAACTCACACAAAAACAACTAATGGTTTTGCATTATATCCCACTCCCAATCTTAATGCTTACCATCACAATACATTACATAGTATGCTCCACACAGCCACCCATAATGCCATATTATCAGCCCATTACACTTTTGTGCAGTGCTCTCAGTGATGGAGCCTATTAAACAACTGAGACCGAGACTCTCCTTCCATGGGCGTACGTGCTCTTAATGAGTTAAAACGGGGCAGCGTCTGTATCGCTGTGGTGTTACTGAAAGTCTTACATATTGCAGTGAGTGTGTTGCTGCACGGGCTGTCTCACAAAGAAGATAAAAGTCACTAAAGGCAGTGGAGCGGGATGTTGCTGGAGAATGTGCAAACTCAGCAACTTCAGCAGTGAAGCTGATAGAAGAAGAAATGTAAATGCTGTCAGGAGAAGCATCTTTCACACGGCCTCTCATAACGATTTTCCTCATCTCTGTGAGATTGAAGGAAAAATACTATGTCTACATAAAAGACCACTTTACAATCATCCTGGTAAATGTTCTGTTCAGTGGTTTAAGCAGATGGTTGGTCATGGTTTCCTTTCTTTCTGTATTCTCTTTCAACCAATACTGGCCTAAATTGAAATGATTTGAACTTGCTTTGAACAAATAGATAATTCCTCTAAAAATAGCTGCAAATCCTTAGCCAACTGTAATAATGCCAGCATGTACATTTTGGCAATAAATAAATCATAGGCCAAGAGTCTGGGCAATTCGCCAGTTTTCAGCCTCAGCGTGGCTTCCAAAAAACTTCTCGCAGCTGTTTTCCACGGAAAGTGCTGTCCTTCATTTTCAGTCATATAAATAATCAGCCACAAGATGGCACCATAGTAATAAATAAAGCTAAATCTGGCTCCAGGAGCACATAAGGGCATGAAGGACTGGATCCAATTTAATGGCTATCCATCCAATTTATATGTCTGACCTCTTCAGGAACAGGATGTTAATGAGTTCTTGTTCTTCCTAAATCTTTAACGATATTATGATCTAAAGAACATCATAAGGTGACACATAGTCCTGATTGCTTTTAAGTTTTGTTCCTCCTGAGAACAGTCACTAAGATGTTTAAGTTAAAAAGGGTTTGATAAATTTGGATGAATGTGATGCAAAGCTCTGCTGTGCTAATGAATATGACACAATCAGTCTGTTTCTTTACACTGCCTTTTGTAGATAACTTTTTCTTGAACTGATGAATGTATCTTTCTCTTACAGGACATTTTACTCAGACCTTACTCCTATTCTGTACTATTAAAATTAGATTAAGTCGGAACGAGGTTTAAAATACTATGACAATAGTCATCCAAAGACATAAGCTGCATGAAAAAAATGAAGCTATATGTTAATTCCCTCATATTACAGAATAGTGTGGTACTTACACTGGTAACATTTGTAGACTATTAATTATCCTAAAGAATGAGTGAAACACAAGGGCAGCACACAGTTTATGAATCAGCTCCCTTGAATGGCTCTCATTACGGTTGCTTTCACCAAGGACTTGATGTAAACACTCAACAAAGCACTTGAGGCTTTATTAACAGACTCTTGAACTGTCTTCATTAAAGCTTTACATTTAGCTTTTAATTCAGCTACTGATGTCTGTGCATATAGGATTTCTATGACTGCCAAGCAAGCTTCACTCCTAATGTGAGAGGTGCTCTTTTACCAAGCTGGGAAGATGCATCATAGGTTTCTATTTTTTTTTATCAAACTCCAAAAACACAGCATGAAAACACCTCCATGTTGTCTAAGATTGTCTATTCCCTATATGGGGCCAGGTCACTGCTGCCCATAGCGGATGCTGAACCACGTAACCAATGGCAGCTTCATTCAGAGGTTTAATTCAGTTTATGAGTGGAGTTCATGTTCCTGTGAGGTTTAAATGACTGAAAAACTAAAGCTCAGGCAGACAGAGCTGAAGATGGTGGCACTTCGGCCAAGTCACATCTGTGCCCCGAAGCACATGTTGCTTCAAATAAACACGCAGACAAGAAGATAATCCTGGTCTGGACAGGATTTAACACGTGGTAGTGACCTCCTAAAAGGAATATTCTCTAAATGATGTCAGCTCTGAAAATTCCGGGACTAGGAAATTGTCATTTATGGTTCTGAATAACCTGGCCTTCAGTATGGATGAAATACTAACAAGCGCAGAGGCCCGCATGTAGAGGGATTTTAATCAAGATATCAGTTTGATGGTTTCCCACCCGCAGCTTGAGGAGAGCAATACCAAACCCACCCATCCATTTTTTATACCCATTTTAATCCAGTTCAGGGTCACGGGGGGAACCTGAGCCTTTCCCAGCTGTCATTGGGTGAGAGGTCAGGTACACCCTGGACAGATTACAAGTCCATCACAGAGCCAATCACACAACCATGCTCATATCACTCCTATGATCAGTTTGGAGGCCAAAATCAAATCATAGCATGTTTAAATCATGTTTCTGTGGGCTATTAGAGGGTAGCGTTTTCGGTAAATTGAAATAAAAGAGCAGCTTCGTCATGAGAGGGGTGTATATTGTGTATAGACTACACATAGTATGGAGTGTGTTTTTACATACTGATGAACACGGAGACCCTCACATGTTGGAGGCTGACTACTGTATCTTTTAAGTAACACTGATTTTAAATACTGTTTAAAAAGAGTAGCCTACTGTATTTGGATTCTGCCTACCATCAATAATGTTCTATACAACCATCGCATTTAGTACAGGACAGAACACCACACATCTACAGCTAACTCTGTGTCAATTCTATTCAGTCTGTTAGTGTTTTTTAACATATACCCCGTCTTTGACACTTTGTTATCATTTGTTCTGAAGTTTATATTTTATAACTGATACCAATAGTGGTTGGTGGCAAGAAAACACCTAATCAAAGAGTTAGACTAAACCCAGTCATTTCATTATGTTTTTTGTTTTTTTTGGCTAAATATTAAAAAAATATAATTTGGGATGTGATGAATTCTGAAAGATTGAAAGAAAGATGTTTCTTGGTTCTTATAAGACTGAGGCCGTTTAATTGAACCTGCAATGCTTGTCATGTTCAATGGACGGATAGGCTGGAGCTCATATGGTGGACCACTCCCTTTGTGTTTCCATGGCAATGTTAGTTTGGCAGCTTCCATCGCGATGGATCCCAAGTTGACATTCACAGTGTGGAAGGAAGTGAATGTGTGTCTTCACAATTATCAGCCAGAAAATATTCAGTTGTTAAAAAATAATGAAAAAAATCATTAAAAAAAATCATTTTCAATCATTCCAAAATATCAAAGTGGGGTATCCTGATCCTGACGAAGGGATAATCAAAATAATTATTTTAGAATTACATAATGGCGGCTAATGAATAGTTGGTTTCACGGTCTCGTTTCACATTTATAAAATATAACTTTCTGTGTTTAAGATTAGTATTACAATGACTAATCTCTACTTTCAGCCAGCATTTCAACACATCACCTTCTTTTGAAAAGAAACAGTGGAATTATGGACATGTGCGGTGTAACACAGCTTTATATAAAGCTCCGATATTCTTATCAAAATAAAAAATAAAAAAAATCCTTCCTGACCCGGGTTTTGCACTCACCTTTGGCAGCATGGTCTTCTTTGCCCTTCGATTTTCCGCTCATCAGGCTCTGTCGCGTCTGCTGCTTGCTCAATAAAAACTTAAAGATGAAGGAATGGGCTTCTACTTTTTCATCTTTCAGCGCTGCGTCCCTCTCAGCTCAGATCCCGAGTCCGACTCTCACCTCCTCTCCTCTCTACCTCTCTGTTTCTTTCAGCAAAGACCGGATCAGTCTGAGCCTCCACATGTCACCGTGGAACGGCAGAAGCGCCACTCCCCCCCCCCCCCCCCCCCCCCCCCCTCCCCCCACCCCCCCACCCCCTGCTATCCCGCATGGGGAGACAAAGAAAGAGGGGTGGCACTGACATGAACATGGGCACCAGCAAGCCAAAGCCCATAAAGAAATGGCACACCCTGACATTCTTATATCAAGAGGTAAGCTATGATTGATAGATCCATGATGTTTCTGTTGCACAGCATATAGTTCTACATCTATTTATTGTCATTATAGCAGAAAAACACTGGACAGCTAATGCAAATTTATTTTTTCCCTCTTTATTTTCATTCAAGAGGCGCAAATTTTCATGGAGATGTACCCTAAACACAAAGACTAAAGAGAAAATAACCTTCTTTTTTGTGACTGATACCTGTCATAGAAAACCGTTTTTAACAGTTAAATTGAGCCTTTGCAGGAGGTTGAGTTCAGTTTTTCCTTATTCTTAAAAGAAAGAAAGAAAGAAAGAAAGAAAGAAAGAAAGAAAGAAAGAAA